GGGAAGGTGGCTCAGTGGTAGAGCGCTTGCCTTGCATGCATGAGGCCCTGGGTTCAATTCCTCAGCACCACATAAGCAAAAAGAAAAAAGCCGGAAGTGGAGCTGTGGCTCAAGTGGTAGAGTGCCAGCCTTGAGCTGAAGAGCTGAGGGACAGCGCCCTGGCCCAGAGTTCAGGCCCCACCCCTCCCCCCCCCAAAAAAAAGAGTCTCAAGGACTTTGTAGCCCAGACTGACTTTCAGTCAGGATCCTCAGATCTCAGCCTCCTGAGTACCTAGGATTGCAGGTGTGAGCCACCAGTGCTCAGATAAAGCACATTTTCATTCCTTCTGGGCTGATGTCAGTGGTTAATTCCACATGTTTGAACCTCCCTGGAGAATTGGCCGTACCCGGGGAAGAGACACCTGGCAGATACAGAGTGGCTTAGCCCTGTTGTTTCTGTGGAGAGCTAGATCCTTGGTTACTGCTACTCCCAAGGGTGGTCCGAGATTTCTATTGCAGTTGGCTGAAGGGAGAATGCAGGGCGGGACTTAAATTCCCAGGAAAATGCCTGAGGAGAGAAAAAAAGAAACACCCATCATTCCAAACAGGCTAGATCCTCAAATCCATGTAATCAAACAGAGAGATGATCCAACTGGACTTCTGATCTGTGGGTACTCAGCCTCTCTCCCATGTCTGGAGTTCCCCAAAAGTTCCAGAGGGGAACCTGGCTGCGGATGGAGTGACCTGCTCCAGAGTCAATCCTAGAAAATTGGAAGAATCTCTGGAAGTAGTTGGCCAACAGCCACTGAGGATTAGACAGGAAGTGCCAGAGGCAGGCCCGTTCATCTCAGGGGGAACGGAAATTATTCTCTTAAGACAGAGCATCCCAGGCTAGCCTCTCTCAATGTGGTTTCCATCCAAGGCTAGCTCTTAGCCACAGTTGTGTAGAGATTAATTCAAGCATCCAGATTGGAGCAGGGTAATGGAGGCCAAATTCACAGGAAACCTATAAGACAAAAGTTACAATTTAGGGTCAAATTAGGTGGCTTATGCCTCTATTCCCAGCCACTCAAGAGGTAGAAGAAGATCTTGATTTGACATCAGCCAGGGAAAACAGTTAGTGAGATTCTATCTAAAACAAAAAACCAAAAAACACACCACCACAACCACCGACAAAAACCAGTCCCAATAACTCAGGAAACTGAGGCAATAGGATTGTGAATTTGAAGCCAGCCTGAACTACTGAATGAAACCATGTCTCAACATGAACAGACTCAGGCATTTATTTAGTAAGTTTCCCAAGCTATACCAAGTTAGTGTGTGACAATCAGGATTCAAATTCTAGCTGACTGCTCTATTTCTTTTTTTATTTTATTTTTGTTGGTCATGGGGCTTGAACTCGGGACCTGGGCGCTGTCCCTCAGCACTTCAGCTCAAGGTGAGTGCTCTACCACCTGAGCCACAGTGTCACATCTGGTTTTCTAGTGGTTAATTGGAGATAGGAGTCTCACAGACTTTCCTTCCAGGCTGTCTTTGAACTGTGATCCTCAGATCTCAGCCTCCTGAGTAGTGAGGATTATAGGCATGATTCATTAGCATCCAACAATTCTATTATTAATTATTATTAATTATTCCAGTTGTACCTGAGGTCTTATATATGCTAGGCAAGCACTCTACCACTGTTACATTCACAGTCCTTAGCTTTTTTGAGACAGAGACTTGCCATATAACCCAAGCTGACTTCAAATTCTCCTCTTCCTGCCTCTACTTCTTGAGTGCTGGGATTACAGGCATAAACCACCATACCCATCTGGTTTCTTTCTGTGCTGCCTCCTTCTTTTTTAATATGTGGCTTACAGTAGAACTGATGGGGACTCAGCGTTTACTGCCTCTCACCTGGGATTTGCCTAGCAAATCCGTTTTAGCCTGCCCCAGTGTGATTTTTCTATGTGCTATACTGCCCTCTAGTGCAAGTTCAACATAGTACAGGAGAGAAACAACATGCTTGGTTAATTAACCTTGGGCTGCTAAGGTTACTTTTCTGCCCCACCCTGGGATTCTGAACACCAGAAAGGAAACTCCTTGTTGCATTGAGAGATGAAGAGGACCACAATCGATCTGTTTGTGCTGCTAAAATAAATTGTGCACTAATTATTATATAGTAATCTCTATCAAGTTAAAATCCTGAGACTCCATCTCCTCTTAAATGATATGATTAGCTGGGCCCCAGTGGCTCATGCTTTGTAATCCCAGCCACTCAAGAAACTGAGGTCTGAAGATCACAGTTTCAAGCCAGTTAGGGCAGGAAAGTCTGTGAAGCTCTTACCTGCAATCAATCACCAAAAAGCTGGAAGTGGAGGTGTGGTTCAACTAGCAGAGCACTAGCCGTGAGGAAAGGAGCTAAGGGACAGCACTCAGGCCCTGATTCAAGCCCTAATCCTAGAAATAAAAAAAGCATTATAAGGCCAAGAGCTGGTGGCTCACATGTATAATCCTCCCTACTCAGGTGACTGAATAAACATCCAGGGGATCACAGTTGAAGCCAGTCCAGGCAGACAAGTTGTAAGACTCCATCTCCGATGAACCAGCAAAAATCAGGGCTAGGGTCTGGCTCAAGTGGTAGAGCATCAGTCTAACAAGCTCTGAGTTCAAACTTAGATGGTTAATCATAATAACTTAAAATAATTATGGAGCTGAGAGCTGGTGGCCTACACCTGTCATCCTAGCTACTCAGGAGGCTGAGATCTGAGGATCATGGTTCAAAGCCAGCCCAGGCAGAAAAGTCCATGAGACTCCTATCTCCAATAAACCACCAGAAAACCAGAAGTGGTGCTGTGGCTCAAAGTGGTAGAGCGCTAGCCTTGAATTGAGGAGCTGAGGGACAGCACCCAGGCCCAGAATTCAAGCCCCATGACTGACCAAAAAACAAAACAAAAGAAAAGAAAAAAAAGAGAGAGAGAATAATTCAAGGGTAAATTAAGATTGTAAATATGCTAATGAGTTTCTCTGAATGTAATGCTTCCTTCCACATTGTTGGTTTGGTTTTTAGCTGTCCTTGGAGTCCACAATTTGCTCAACAATCCAAAGTTTGATGAAGAAACAACCAACAGCAAAGGCGGCAAGGGGCCTGTGAGGAGTAAGTCCCGGGGGATGCAGGACCTCCAGGAGGAGAGGGGTCTGGTGACTGTTGGGGTTCAGAACAATGAAGCCAGAGTAGAGAAGCAGAAAATGGGGGGCTCAGTCTCAGGGCAGCTAGTGCCAGCCCATAGTTTTCCCAGAACACACTTTCTTAGTAGAATTGTTCTGTGAAAACGGGGAGGAAAAGTCAATAAAAACTGCTGCATGGGAGTGGAATGTCAGTGGCTCACGCCTGTAATCCTAGCTACTCAGGAGGCTGAGATCTGAGGATCCCAGTTCAAAAGAAAAACCAGTGAGAGCACAGGGCCTTGAGTTCAAGCCTCAGTACCAGCATACAAAATAAAGAAAGAAATAAAGAAGACTTGTGTTCTAGATGTGGTCAAAGGTGAAAAAGTGAAGCCAATATTTGAAGAACCACCCAACCCCACGAATGTGGACGCCAGTCTGCAGCAGATCAAGGCCAATGATCCCAGCCTGCAAGAAGTCAACCTCAACAACATCAAGGTATGTTACTGGTGTCTGGCTCAGCCGAGCGTGAGGTCGGCTGACTGGTGTCTGCTTTCCCAGGAAATGGCAGTCTGTTGTAGTCACTGATTCGGAGACATGATATCCTTCTATAAAGAAGTGATTTTACTTTTTGTCGATCTTGGGGCTTGAACTTAGGGCCTGGGTGCCATCCCTGAGCTTCTTTTGCTCAAGGCTAGCACTCTACCACTTACACTACAGCACTACTTCTGGCTTTTTCTGTGTATGTGGTGCTGAGGAATCGAACCCAAGGCTTTATGCAAGCTAGGCAAGCACTCTACCACTAAGCTGCATTCCCAGCCCCTGCATATAATTCTTTTTTTTTTTTTCGTTCATGGGGCTTTAACTCTAGGCCTGGGCACTGTCCCTCAGCCCTTCAGCTCAAGGCGAGCACTTTACCATTTGAGCCACAGAGCCACTTCCAGCTTTTTCTGCTTATTTGGTGCTGAGGAATGGAACCCAGGGCCTCATGCATGCCAGGCAAGCATTCTACCACTGAGCTACCTTCCCAGCCCCCTGCATATAATTCTTAGAGATTGTGTCCAGTGCCCTTCTTGGACACTAGGTGGTGCTATTCGCACAGAGGAACATGACTTCAGCCACCTAAACATATACTGTATTTTTTTTTTTTCCCGGTCATAGGGCTTGAACTCTGAGCCTGGGTGCTGTCCCTGAGCTCTTCAGCTTAAGGCTAGTGCTCTGCCACTTGAGCCACAACACCACTTCTGGTGGTTTATTGGAGATAAGAGTCTCATGGACATTCCTGCCTGAGCTGGCTTTGAACTGTGATCCTCAGATCTCAGCCTCCTGAGTGGCTAGGATTACAGCTGTGAGCCATTGGCACCCAGCTCTATATGGTATTTAAAAGTTGTGGAGCTTCCAGTGTAACTCAATGGTAGGGCACTTGCTTAGTATATATATTTAGTATATAATACTTCATTATGTAGTATATATAATATCTTGGATTTGATCAGAAAACCAAAACAATAATAAGTTGTTCTCTTTTTTTCTTTTCTGGGTAGCAATCCTGGGGCTTAAACTCAGGACCTGGGTGTGTCCCTGAGTGTTCAAGGCTAGTGCTCTACCACTTGAGCCAGAGCACCACTTCCTGCTTTTTAGTGGTTCATTAGAGATAAGAGTCTCACTGACTTTCCTGCCCACCCCGGCTTTGAACTACAATCTCAGTTCTCAGCCTCCTAAGTACCTGGGATTACAAGCATGAGCCTCAGGCAGCTGGCAAAAGTTGTACGTATGTAATGTTGGGATGGGTATGCTATCCAGTGGTAATCAGCTATCCCTGTCTTCTGTATGTTAGAACATTCCGATTCCAACCCTGAAGGAATTCGCGAAGGCCCTGGAGACCAACAGTCACGTGAAAAAGTTTAGCCTGGCTGCCACTCGCAGCAACGACCCCGTGGCCATGGTGAGTCAAACATTTAGAAACGCAACATGAAGTGTCGGAATTCACCCGAGACTCTTTATATGTTATTTTCTCCATTGACAATCTAGATCTGTTCAGCTTATTCTATTTGATGGTGTTCATATTGGGGCTTAAACTCAGGGCCTAAAGCATTGTCCTGGAGCTTTTTTTGTTTGTTTGTTTGTTTTTTTTGGGGGGGGGTCCAAGTCATGGAGCCTGAACTCTGGGCCTGGGCTCTGTCCCTCAGTTCTTCAGCTCAAGGCTAGCGCTCTACCACTTGAGCCACAGCGCCACTTCCGGCTTTTTTCTTTTTGCTTATGTGGTGCTGAGGAATCGAACCCAGGGCCTCAGGCATGCAAGGTAAGCACTCTATCACTGAGCCATCTTCCCAGCCTCCCGGAGCTTTTTATGTGTGTGTTTTTTCTCAAAGCTGGTACTCTTATCACTTGAACCATAGTTCTACATCCAGCTTTTTGGTGCTGAATTGGAGATAAGCGTCTCACAGGCTAGTAACTACAATCCTTAGGTTTCAGCCTCCTGAGTAGCTAGGATTACAGGTGTGGGCTACCAGCTCCCTGCCTTGATACCAGTTCCTGTGCTAGGAACTAGAATTTTTTTGTTTGTAACACTTTTCAGGTTACTTTGACTGTTTGGAAACATCTACAGTAACTTCTCTGCACTTCATTTTTTTTTTCAGAGAATTGTGGCTTGCTGATAGAATCAAAGGAATGCTTATTGACCCAGAACCAGTTAACACATCTTACCGTAATTGCTCTCCTTCAGGGTTTGAAGAGAAAGCCTCTGGCCACATGGCTGGACAGATTGTGAAGGTCCAGCCCATATCTGGCTAAGCTGAGCCCAGATGGTTCCTGTGTCCTTGTCAGGAAAGAATGTTCCTATAGATTGAAAAATTGGTTCATTACAGGCATTAGAGATATGTGCCTGGGAATTTAAAAATAGCCCTAAAGTCCAAGCTTCAGAAGACTTTTTCTCTCTAAAGTTCAAACCCAGAGGCAACAAGATGCTTCTAGAATTCTATTGAGCGGAGGCAAAGGGGTGTGGATGATATCACATCTTCCTCAGGAGATGACTAAGTCTTAGGGAAGTTGAGTAACTTAACTAAGAATGTGTATGAGACCAAGCCAGGATGGCAAATGTAAGCCAGCTGTAATGGCTGAGCCACCATACCCCATATGCCACCAGATGCATAGCAGTTGAAGAATATGCGTGACACTTGTTCCGGTTGAGTGCCAAGAGACAAAAGAAAACCCCAAAGTGGAAAAAAAAAAAAAAAAAAGAACCATACTACCACATACCACAGTGCAACTTCTGGTTTTTTCTGTGGTTAATTGCAGACAAGAGTCTCACAGACTTTTCTACCCAAGTCAGTTTTGGACCTCGATCCTCAGATCTCTGCCTCCCAAGTAGCTAGGATTACAGGCGTGAGCCACCAGCACCCAGCTCAGACTAACCATTTTTCAAAGTCTCAGTAACTTCAAATTTCAGGTAGCTACCATCTGAATAGCCCAGAAAATTGTACTTTCCGTAGAGTACAGAAAACAAAAACTTTTCTCTTTAAAAATGTATTTCTACTCTTAATTCTTTGCAAAACACTTAGGAAATCTTATCTCTGTTTTACTAACATTCTTATCCCTGGCACACAGAATAAATGTTCAAATATTGGCTGAGCAGAAAGTGAACTTGGGGCCTAGAGCCCAGGGTTTTGTTCTGAATGAGAAAAGTATTTTCTCAAGTTTAAAAGAAATGAGCAAGATCTTGGCTGCTTGCCAATTTTTATTTTTTGTACAAAACTCATTGCTATTACATTTTATTGTTCTAAAACCCAAAGAAAATCCCAAAGTTTGATACATTCCTTTCTGGGGCTGGGATGTAGTTTAGTGATAGAGTGCTTATATGGCAGATATAAGGCCCTGGTGTTGATCCCTAGTATAATAAGAATAACACCAACAACAACAATAAGAAGAATAATGCATTTAGATGGGTGCTGGTGGCTCACGCCTATAATCTTAGTTACTCAGGAGGCTCAGATCTAAAGATCATGATTCAAAGCCAGCCTGGGTAGGAAAGTCTGTGAGACTTTTACCACCAGAAAATCAGATGTGTTGCTGTGGCTCAAGTGGTAGAGCACTAGCCTTGAGCACAGAGAGGCACAGGGACCGCACCTAGGCCCTGAGTTCAAGCCCTACGACTGTCAAACCATAATAACAATGCATTTATTTATTTATTTATTTACTTATATAGTTGGTTGGTTGTGGGATTTGAACTCTGGGCTTAGGTGCTATCCCTGAGCTCTTCAGCTCCAGACAAGAACTCTACCACTTGAGCCACAGCAGTCACTTCCAGTTTTCTGGTGCTTAATTGGAGATAAGGATCTCCCAGGGACTTTTCTGCCCAGGCTAGCTTTGAACTATGATCTTCGGATCTCACCCTGTTGAGTAGCTATGGTTATAGACATGAGCCACCAGTACCTGCAGCAATCATTGTACTTTTTTTTTCTTTTTGTTGATCGTGGGGCTTGAACTCTGGGCTTGGGCCCTATCCTTCAGCTCTTCAGCACCAGGCAAGTGCTCTACCGCTTAAGCCACAGTACCACTTCCAGTTTTCTAGTGGTTTATTGGAGATAAGAGTCTCAGAACTTTCCTGCCTGGGTTGGCTTTGAACTGTGATCCTCAGATCTCAGCCTCCTGATTAGCTAGGATTACAGGCATGAGCCACAGGTGCCTGGCTTCATTGTACTTTTAAGTTACCTTTTTTTCCTTGGAGAGGAGAGTAACCTAAGGAAGGTTTTGTGGTTTTTATTTACTTTTCTTTCTTTCTTTTTTTTTTTTTTTGTTGTTGTTGGTCCTGGGGCTTGAATTCAGGGCCTGGGTGCTGTCCCCTGAGCTCTTTTGCTCAAGGCTAGCATTCTAGCTCTTTAAGCCATAGTGCTACTTCTGGTTTCTTGGTGGTTAATTGGAGATAAGAGTTTCAGGGACTTTCCTACCCAGGCTAGCTTTGAACCATGATCCTCAGATCTCAGTCTCTTGAGAAGCTAGGATTATAGGTATGAGCCACCAGTGCCTAGCAAGGATGATTTTCTTTATATATAATTTTTTTTTTTTTTGCCAGTCATGGGGCCTGAACTCCGGGCCTGGGTGCTGTCCCCCAGCTCTTCAGCTCAAGGCTAGCACTCTACCACTTGAGCCACAGCCCCACTTCTGGTCTTTTCTGCTTATGTGGTGCTGAGGAATCGAACCCAGGGCCTCATGCATGCAAGGCAAGCACTCTACCACTGAGCCACCTTCCCAGCCCCCTTTATATATAATTTTAAAAAATCTATTTATTTGGAGATGTGAGGGGTTCACTGAATCAACCTTTAGATACCCTAATTCATGATTATGGTTTTTATTTTTGCATGCTAAGGCTTTTGCAGATATGCTGAAAGTAAACAAGACCTTGAAAAGTCTAAACGTAGAGTCCAATTTTATCACTGGAACTGGGATCCTGGCCCTGGTGGATGCATTGAGGGAAAATGACACATTGACAGAGATCAAGATTGACAACCAGGTAAGGATGAGTAAGCATGAGGGCACACAGGAAGTAGGGAACGCGCATGCGCAGCTGGGTTGCTGGGCAAGGGGGGAGAGCAGGGATATTCATATTCAGAGCAGGCTGAAACACAAAGTTGTACTGTGATTCCTTATGCTGCTCTGGCTTTTCCTGAAATTTCTCACAACTTCCTTCATGACAACAAGGCATATTATCAGTTAAACAGTGCACAGTGGGTCAGTCTGAGACCTAATGACACACAACACACACGCTATGGTGACAGGCAAAGATGGTTCAACCACCATCATCTTTTCCTTTTAGTGTGCCTCTGCTATGGTGACAGGCAAAGATGGTTCAACCACCATCATCTTTTAGTGTGCCTCTCAATCCAGTGCTCTCTCAGTCTTGCTTTTGCCTTTCTCTGGGACTCTGGCCAGAAGGAGAAAGCAGGGGGACACTTCTTGTCTTTGGTTGGAAACTGCTAGAACAGAAAGAATAGATCCAAAAGGCAGACTCAAGCTTGTATATTCTGGTGCTGGTTGCTGACAGCCTGTTGCAAAGAGCCAGGGTTCTAAATGATGATCTGGCTTAAAGTAGCAGGACACAATCCAAGTGGGATCAAAATCTCCTCTGCCACCTCATTCCTTGGGTCTCTCACACCCAGCCAAAGCAGGGCCACCACTTTCTGTGGCACCCAGACCTCAAGCTGGGCAGGAAGAGTCTGTGAGACTTTTACCTCCAATTAGCCACCAACAAGCCAGAAGTGGAGTTGTAACTGAAGTGGTAGAGTACCAGCCTTGAGTGAAAAAGCTAAGGGATATTATTCAGGCCCCAGGACCAGCACACACACACACACACACACACACACACACACACACACACCAAAGCCAAGCGCTGGTGGCTTGTGCCTGTAATTCTAGCTATTCAGGAGGCTGAGATCTGAGGATCCTGTTAAGAGCCAGCCTGAGCAGAAAAGTCCCTGGGAGACTCTTATCTCCAATTAACCAGCAGAAAACCAGAATTGGTGCTGAGGCTCAAAGTGGTAGAATGCTCGCCTTGAGCAAAAAGACCTCAGGAACAGCATCCTGTCCCTGAGTTCAAGCACCCAGACTAACAAAAACGAAAGGAAAGTGAGTTTCCTTCCTGGTGTGTGAATTTGAAAGAAAATAATCTCTAAACTTTCTCAGGTTGGATGAAACCCTGAGGCCAACTGCTGGCTATGCAAACCAAAGAGGCCTAATGTGTATTCCTTCCCCCCAAGGCCTGCACCACCCCAGCAGGCCCCAGTAACCACAGGCCACTGAGTCAGCCCCAGTCTCACTGAGCGTGAACTCTGTGATGTAGACTGAGGAAACCCCAGGGGGCTGCTAAAGAAATCTGGTTTTTCCTTTTTTTTTTTTTTAAGTTTACTGATTCATTCATTCTTTTAAAAAACCCAACATTTTGCCAGATGCCAGAAGCTTACACCTGTAATTTTAGCTACTCAGGAGGTTGAGATCTGAGGATCATGATTTGAAGCCAGCCCAGGCAGGAAAGACCATGAGATTCTTATTTCCAGCTAATCACAGAAAAAGCCAGAAGTGACACTATGGCTCAACTGGTAGAGCACTAGCCTTGAGCAAAAAGGAGCTCAGGGATAGCACCAAAGCCCGGAGTTCAAGCCCCAACCACAGCAAAAAAAAAAAAAAAAAATTTTTTTTAATCCAATTTTTAAGAAATGTTTAGATGCCCAAAAATCTGTCTGTCTGTCTACCTATCTAAATCAGGTGCTGGTAACACACTCCTGTAATTCTACCTTCTCAGGAGGCTGAGATCTGAGGGTTACAGTTCAAAGCCAGCCTTGTCAGGGAAGTCTTTGAAACTCTTATTTCCAATTAACTACGACGAATCTGAACATGGTGCTGTGGCTCAAGTGGTAGAGCGCTAGCCTAGCTCAGGGACAGCACCCACCCCCTGAGTTCAAGCCCTGGGACCAGCACAGACACACACACACACACACACACACACACACAAAAGACCCAGACTGAGAAAGATACATGTCTTGTGTCACATGACTTCCTCTTCCCACACTCTCTTTTTGGGGGCGTGGTTCTAGGTTTTTTTGTTTGGTTGTTTGGTTTTTTTGTGGGTCGTGGGGCCTGAACTCTGGGCCTGGGCGCTGTCCCTCAGCTCTTCAGCTCAAGGCAACCACTCTACCACTTGAGTGCCACTTCCATTTTTTTCTGCTTATGTAGTGTTGAGGAATCGAACCCAGGGCCTCATGCATGCCAGGCAAGCACTCTACCACTGAGCCACCTTCCCAGCCCAGTATTAGGTTTTTTGTTTTTGTCTTTATGTTGATACTAGGACTTGAACTGTAGGCCTGGGCATTCTCCCTTAGGTTTTTCCTCTCAAGGTTGGTACTTCCTTAGACTCTGTCGAAAGAAAAGGACCCATTGGTTGATGATCTTTAATTACTTTGCGTATAATTTCCAAAATAGGAAATTTGCCAGTTGAATTGATTACTATAAGACAATTTCATCATTTAAAAGCATCCTATATCCTATATCCCAACTCTTCAGAAAGCAGAGATTGGAAAGATCACTTCAAGTCCAGCCTGGGCAAAAAGTTAGCAAGATTCCATCTCCACAAACAAGACAGGCCTCCATAATGGTTCAGGTCTATAACCTCAACTACTTGGGGAAGTGTTAAGTAAGAAGATCAAGGTCGCCGGGCGCTGGTGGCTCACGCCTGTAATCCTAGCTACTCAGGAGGCTGAGATCTGAGGATCACGGTTCAAAGCCAGCCCGGGCAGGAGAGACCGTGAGACTCCTATCTCCAATAAACCACCAGAAAACCGGAAGCGGCGCTGTAGCTCAAGTGGTAGAGCGCTCGCCTTGAGCTGAAGAGCTGAGGGACAGTGCCCAGGCCCAGAGTTCAAGCCCCACGACCGACAAAAAAAAATAAAAAAGGAGATCAAGGTCTCAGGACAGCTTGGGAAAAATCTTGAGACCCTACCTGAAAAAGATCAGGAGCATAGCTCAAATAGTAAAGTGTCTGCCTAGAAAATGCAAGGCCCGGGGCTGGGAAGGTGGCTCAGTGGTAGAGCGCTTGCCTTGCATGCCTGAGGCTCTGAGTTCGATTCCCCAGCACCACATAAGCAAAAAGAAAAAAGCTGGAAGTGGCACTATGGCTCAAGTGGTAGAGTACTAGCCTTGAGCTGAAGAGCTGAGGGACAGCGCCCAGGCCCAGAGTTCAGGCCCCACGACTGGACCCAAAAAATAAAAAAAGAAAGAAAGAAAGAAAGAAAATGCAACGCCCTGTGTTCAAACCTCAGTTTTGATCAGAGAAAGAGGGAAAAAAAAGACCCTGTGTTTAAACTCTTTTTTGATACTGGGATGACTTAGAAACACCACATATTAACGATACCTTAACGCTACTTCTGGAGTCAGTTTTTTCTTCACAAATGATCTGCTTAGCATAGGACCAGCAGATTCAGCTCTCTGTCTGGATTTTGCCTCTAGTTAAGGAGCAGGACATAAATGACTATATAGGAGACCATAGCTCCCGTGGCTTTGTCTCTTTTAGTTTGAGATTTTTATTTATCTTATTTTATTGCCTCTTGGCATGTTAGTGGCAATAGATAGGCTCTCTGCTACACATGTAACGCTTTTCCTCTTTCTTCCGGGTATTCCTTCCACCTACCACCAGAGGCAGCAGCTGGGGACCGCTGTGGAAATGGAGATGGCCCAGATGCTGGAGGAGAATTCCCGGATCCTCAAGTTCGGATACCAGTTCACCAAGCAGGGGCCCCGGACAAGGGTGGCAGCTGCCATCACCAAGAATAACGACTTGGGTAATGCAGTCCTGACAGGCGCCGGTGGTAATGGGGAGAGCATGTGGCCTATTCACTTTTCTCCTTCAGATTCATCACAGATAGCTTGCTGTCTCCAAGCCCTTCATCAAAGGCACCTTATCTTCCACTCATGGGAGTTTTTGTGTTCCAAATAATCATTAAGATTTCCACATAGCAGCCTGTCACCAAGTGGTTCATGCTTGTAATCCTAGCTACTTGGGAGGCTGAGATCTGAGGATCATCCTTCAAAACCAGCCCTGGTGGCTTACGCCTGTGATCCTAGCTATTGAGGAGGCTGAAATCTGAGGATCACAGTTCAAAGCCAGCCCTGGCAGAAAAGTCTGTGAGACTCTTGATTTTTTTTTTTGGCCAGTCCTGGGGCTTGAATTCAGGGCCTGGGCACTATCCCTGAGCCTCTCTACCACTTGAGCCACAGCACCATTTCTGACTTTATCTGTGTATATGGTGCTGAGGATTCGAATCCAGGGCTTTGTGCATGCTGGGCAAGCACTCTACCACTGAGCCACATTCCCAGCCTGTGAGACTCTTATCTGTAATAAACCACTAGAAAACACAAATTGGCACTGTGGCTCAAGCGGTAGAGTGCTCGCCTTGAGCTGAAGAGCTCAGAGATAGCACTCAAGTCCAGAGTTCAAGACCCATGACTGACAAAAAAAAAAAAAACAGCCCGGGCAGGAAAGTCTCTGAGACTCTTTATTTCTAACTGATCAAAAGCCCAAAGTGGAGGTTGTGGCTCAAGTGGTAGAGCACCAACCTTGAACAAAAAAGCTAAGGGACAGCACCTAGGTTCTGGATTCAAACCCCAGTACTGGCACCAAAAAAAAAAAAAACTTGTATGTTTTTGTGAGATTTGGTTTTGTGTGTCTGGAATTTTAAGAAATACCCCTTTCAACCTTTTTCTGTTTCTCACCTAGTTCGTAAGAAGAGAGTTGAAGCAGACCGAAGGTAAACGTCTGTGAGAAGATGGAACTTTCCACCATGCAGCTGGTGACAAGTGGAACCCAACTCTTCTCTCCATGGGACCATTTGATCAAAGGTCACTCATTTCCGTTAACCATACAACTAATCATTTAATTGCTACTCTTTCTGACCAGAACTTATTGACATGGGATTCTTAGATGCATACAGGTGTTTTTCTCACTTGTCTGTACCTCTAGCAATTGTACGAGGTGACGGGTGCAGATCGTGGACAGTGGTGACCCTGAAACATGACTTAAGCCACTGTCCCACACGATTCTCTTTGCTTTGTCTCATGCACACTTTTTTAAACATTGAAAGGGATTTAGTGTCCACTATGTGCTTGTAACTGTGATTCTGGTAGGGGACTATCTCTGTTTACATGCCTAGCTCTGAGTTAGGCTAAATATTCACAAAGTGTTCTGCTTACCGCATAAGAAGTTAGTATTGCCAATCTTCCCATTCGAGGAGAAAAATGTGACCCATTTAGCACAACTCCTCCCTCAGAGGCCCACTTAATTGAAGATGAAAGTTATTACTGTCATAAATAAGACAACTTGATGACTCTTGAAAGCCAGGCGGCCACTGGTGGCTCACACCTGTCATTGTGATTACTCAGGAGGCTGAGATCTTTGGATCCTAGTTTAAAGTCAGTCTAGGCAGAAAAGCCCAAGAGACTCTTTATTTCCAGTTAACCAGCAAAAAAGCCTGAAGTGAGAGATATGGCTCAAGTAGTATATGCCAGGCTTGAGGAGAAAAACCTAAGCAAGAGTAAAGTTACTGAGTTCAAACCCCAGTACTGGCACCCAACACAAAACATTATGACACATGCACTATTAGCCTATGTTTATTAACCCACAAATTTACTTTCAAGCCAGATCAGCAAAATGAACTCTTATATCTACCATGACTGACTCCTTCACCTAAATTAAATCTTTTATATGACTCTAATGGATAATTCTTTACAAAGCTATATAGAGTTATCCAGACATGATAGGAAAGTGTCAAATTAGTAAGAGAGAATTTTACAACTGTACATTCCTAAATCAAATGATAACGATTGCACTTTAACCAAGGTTGTTTAGCACACAAAATTGCATTAGTCCGAAAGCTTTAAAAGCACGTATTTTGCTGTATGTGATATAGAAAAACATTACAGGGTGAAATGTAAACATTCAGATTCATTATACAGATTTCTGTCCTCATGGCACGATCCATCCCGGCATTGGAAAACATAGGGGAAAAATATAAATTATCACCTAGTGCTGGTTGTTCATGCCTGCAATCTTAGCTACTCAGGAGGCTGAGATCTGAAGATCATAGCTCAAAGCTAATCAAGGCAGGAAAGTCTGTGCGACTCTTATCTCCAATTAACCATCAAAAAGCCAGAAGTGGAGCTGTGGCTCAAGTGGTAGAGTGAAGGCTCTTTGAGCAAAAACGCTCAGGGATAGCACCCAGGCCCTGAGTTCAAACCTCAGGATCAGGGGGAAGAAAAAAATATATATATAATATATACTTATATATTATATATATCACCACTGAGACAAAGCCCATGGAAATCCAACTAAGATGATGATGGTAATCTTTTAATGTTATGGTGTGACAGTGTGATGAGACATTAAATCAACAGGTGATAGAAGCAGCATTTTTCACATGACAGCTGTCACAGGTCACAATTTGTTAGCTTGCCAGGTGCCTGGGTTGTGATGCGGTTGTATGTCATTTCCCAAGGGCCCCCCCACTTCTTTCTCCCTTTCTTTTTCCTTTCTCTTCAGCTCATCCTTTAATTTTTTTCTGTTTTTTTTTCCCTGAGCTTTATAAAAATGACATCTCTTGTGCCAATGACATTCAGAGCTAAAGAAACTGCTGACCCTAGCAGAGGCGGGCCCCAATTGGTCAGTAACTGGCAGTTCTTGAGCTACTTGTTAGAAGCAAAACAAGCTAATGGGGAAAACACTAATATACTACACTTGTTAGTTTGACAAGCACATGGAGTCAGCTTGTAGGAGTCCTTAAAAAACAAACAAACACTATATATTAGCCAAGCTGCGCTGGCTCAAACTGATATCTGAAGATCATGGTTCAAAGTCAGCCTGGGAAAGAAAGTATGTGAGATTTAAAAAAAAAAATCTCCAATTAGCCAGCACAAAAAAAAAAAAAAACCTGGAAGTGCTGGGCACTGGTGACTCATGCCTGTAATCCTAGCTAACCAGGAGGCTGAGGGCTGAGGATGGGGGTTTGAAGTTGGCCTGAGCAGGAAATTCGTGAACTTTTATCTCCCAATAAACTTCCATAAAAGTCCAAAGTGGTAGAGCACTTTCCTTGAGCAACAAAAGCTCAGGAATACTACCCAGGCCTTGAGTTCAAGTCCCAGGACTGGCATCCCCTGAGCCAACCCCCACCCCCGCAAAAAAAAAAAAAAAGCTGTTGTCTCACCTGTAAATCTTAGCTACTCTGGAAGCTGAGATCTGAGGATCACGGTTCAAAGCCAGCCCAGGCTCGAAAGTCCTTGAGACTCTTATCTCCAATTAACCACCAGAAAACCAGAAGTGGTGTGGCTCAAGTGGTAGAGTGCTTGCCTTCTGCTGAATAGCTGAAAGACAGCACTCAGGCTCAGAGTTCAAGCCCCACAACCAGCAGAAAAAAAAAAAGCTAGAAGTAAAGATATGGCTCAAATGGTAGAACACCAATCTTGAGCAAAACAAGCCCAAGTAAGTGTGCAAGGCCATGAGTTAAAGTCCCAATCCCAGGAAAGAAAAAAAAAAGATTGTTTGCAACCAATGGGTGGATTGTATACATTTTAAATGTATGTATTTAAAAAATATACACCTTTTGGTTACCCTTGGGAGAATCATTTCTCCTGAGTATCTTTCCTTCTCTGTCTTTGAATTTGTCATGGTCCTTCTTGTCTTTATCTCTAAGAAAATCTTGATTCTGGAAAATATTCTCTACAGAATCTTCTCTATAATTCCGTAGTGTGGGGCTTAAACAATTAATGACAAATCCTAGCAAAAAAATTTTCAAGAAACAAATCAAACTTGGATCTTACCCATTGCTTTTCTCCAAGCAATTGTTGATAGTATTTAAAGCAAAATAACAGGATACTTATCAAAAAATATAGCACTGTTTGTAGCTTATAAAATGGTTGGGTCATGTATAATAGAATCTGTGGGAGTAAATATTTATTACTAATCAGTTTGTCATATTATTATTTGTATTTTAAGTAGCTTGAAAGGTGACATTTACACATTGAAGTTAACTATTAGAGGATAAACATACATTGATCACTTATTTACTCTAAGACTTCCTCTGTGTGTGTGTGTGTATGTGTGTGTGTATGTGTGTGTGTTAATTCTGGGGTTTGAACTCAGAGCCTAGACACTGTCCTTGAGAGTCTTTTGCTCAAGGTTCCTAAGACGTCATCTCTTATGTGCCCTAAGTGTGCAAGTAAAAGTTCTTTTCACAGGCATGCCCAGGAGGCTCACACCTGTAATCCTGGATAATCAAGGTGCTGAGATCTGAAGATCACAGTTTGAAGCCATCCTGGAGAAGGAAAGTTTGTGAGACTCTTATCTCTAGTTAAATACCAAAAAGCCTGAAGTAGACCTGTGGCTCAAGAGGTAGAGCTTCAGGCTGGGTGTTGTTGGCTCATGCCTGTAATCCTAGCTACTCAGGAGGCTGAGATCTGAGGATCACAGTTCAAAGCCAGCTAGGGCAAGGAAAGCCTGTGAGACTCTTTATCTCCAATAATCCACCAGAAAACCAGAAGTGGTGCTGTGGCTCAAGTGGTAGAGTGCTCACCTTGAGCTGAAGAGCTCAGGGACAGTGTCCAGGCCCAGAGTTCAAGCCCCATGACCAAAAAAAACCACGCAAGAACACAAGGCCCTCGAGGTTAAGTTCCAACATTACAAGCATGCGCACACACACATACATACACACACACACACACACACACACACACACATATCCTCTTTTATGGTTATAATTAATCCTTTACTACCCATCATGATGAAACATAATGTATATAAAATATTTTTATATTTCTATGCTTTGCCAGATATTATTTGGTAATACGTGGATGACTGATTGAAGGGAGATAATGTGCCCTGGGTTCCTCTCCCTTCCCATTTTAAAGTGGTACAGTCTAGCTTCAGTAGATGAGAGCATTCCTATCACCAATGCCTGTCACAGCCTGTGTGGAGGATGACTCTTAGATGGATTTTTACAGTCTAGAACTCATCATTGGTCCAGCACTCCATCTCCTCACTTACCTAGTATATGGTGCAATTTGCTTACCCTGTCAGCATAAATAAGCCCACTGCCTTCATCTTTGGAGGGCTGATGTAAATATCTGTGTGTGTGTATGTGTGTGTGTGTGTGTGTTGTCAGATATCTGAGCAGATATTTGGTTACATCTGGACAACTGATTGAAGGGAGATGCTGTCTCCCAAATTCTACTTTCCTTTCCCCCCCCAATCTCTGTAGAGCCACTGTAGATCCAAGTTAAGTGCAAACTTCCTCCCTGGGATTGTATGTTTACATCACCCCCTTTCACAGCAATATGGAGAATGACTCATAGGAAATAAATAGAAATCATTTAGTTTTACACCAGATCTTCCCAGCTGCCTACTAATGTGTATAGTATCCCGTCTTTCTCAGCGTGATTGAGTCTGCCCTTTCCTTCTGTCTTGGTAGGCACATTGTATATAAATATTTTTGTACATAAAAGATCACCAAATACTGTGCTGAGGTATTTGGCTACATCTGGACCACTATTGAAGGCAGATACTCTCTTCCAACCTCGCTTCCCTGCTCCCCTTCTCAGGGTTGTGGTGGGCCTAGATGGAACAGAATCATAAGCCTAGAAGAGCCAATACAGCCTGCCATCTCAGCCCACAGCTCATCTTCTAGGAAAAGCTCATCTCCATGTACAAACTCACAAGTCATGCCAGTCTCTGTTCTTTGAATCAGTTTCTCTCACAGGAGATCAGCACAGCACCAGAACAGCTACTTCTCTTGCTCCTAGTGGGGACACCAGCACTG